ACACCGCTCTGCGCATGTCACGCCGTGAAATTGACACAGACGTATTCCCAGCTGGGGGTCACGTGGTCCAGCTGACATAACCACCTGTATCCGTGACCTCTGACATCAGACAGTGGGTGGCATCACCATCAAAGCTTTCAACACCAATAATTTTCCAGCTCTTCATTTACCCGTTTAAATCTCATTGAAGCTGAATGAAAATGACTTTTACTATCCTCAAAAAGCAAAGCATATACAAAGTCTATTGCATGAAGGTTACATAGGAAAGATTTCCCACCTTGTCAATATTTGAAATTTCTGAAGAAAGCAATTTGCCACTGCACTTGTCCCAAACATCGACGCAACTAGTGCTCCCAATACTACTCATAAACTTTCCCAACGACCTCATCTCCGTTTTACAAGCACACAGTTTATCAATATCATAGCTCTTGAACTCTTGCTCACAATCAGGCTGAAGTATTTGAATTTGAGTCCATATCTCGGTATGTAGAGCACAAGGTCCCATGAAAGAGGTGTAAAAGTAACGTAAAACCACATCACAACAAAACATTGAGCTCTCCTTTCCGTATACTAGTAATTGGAGTGGCACATGGGGGGCGGGGAGGGGGGCGGCAAGTCGCCTCCGGTCACAACCCGGGGTCTGACGGCCAACCTCCTGCTTTTTGGCTCGGAAACAAAGACACCGGGAGGTGTTGTGGGATGGATGGGGGCACAGATCGCTTCTGACAGCTCTTTTGAAGTGTTCCTGGCAAAAAGCGACAAAACGTGGCTGGAACGACGATGTGATTCATTTGTATATCTACTCCTCTTTGCATCTCCATAGGACATAGGACAAATGCACTTGATTCATGAACAAATATATCCATTTTGTATCTAAAAAAGAGCCATGTTTGAACGTTTCGACATATCCGACACCATATTGTACCTCTTGACACAGATTGGCCTGTAGTCATGGCAACGCATTGATGTAATTGAGTTTGCTACGCTTTGGCAAAGGAACGCCTGGCACTTTTGGCAATACTTGTGACACTCTAGTATTCTCCTTGTACTCAATCTTACGCGCCCCACAAAATCAATTTGATAAACTTGTAGATAATCTGACTGATAAGTCCGCTTTCCTTTGATATCTCTGAAATTGATTCTACAGATACGTTATTAATTTTTTTCATTAATCCTATTTCAATATTGAGATTTACCTCGTTTGTGGAAGGATTGCCATAACAGGTGACTATGGCTTTTTCAAGATGTCAACCCGGGGGACCAGACTGTACGGTTTGATCCACTCATACCAGGAAGGGACCCTGCTCTTCTCGATACTGTGGTGGGATCTTTTACGTGTACAAGGTGTGGTTCTCCTCAAGTACAGGATCACGTCCCATCCGAGAAGACGTCCCTAACTGAAGCTAGGTACTCATTTCCACTTGAGTCGAGTGAGGAAATAGGTGTAAAGTGCCTTTCACTAGGGCACAATGCAGGGGCTATTAGCATCGTGATTTCAATATTTTACATCCCCAAGGTCTGTTAACGTTTTTGTGATAAATTGAAGAACTAGACCTCTATGTGATGTTTATCACTTGAACATTGAGTGGAAATGAATTTCCTGCAAAATAAAGATTTGAAATTTTGATTTTAGAGTGGCTATAACAGCAGAGACAACATCAGATGCACGCCGTGCCCTTGGTAGGTCACTTCAAAGTGACATTCACGCCGAAATGACATCTCGCGCCGGAGAGATGTGCTGACCCTCCCGCGCGCACTGCCGAGGTGACCGCCTGGGTCCGGTCCCTCGTCGCACATTTTCCACGCCTTCTTACGCCGTGAGTTAATTAAGATCTATTCCATTACACGGTCTGAATAACTCACAGCGTGCGCACTTCTCGAAAAGGTACCTCTTAGAGTCCCGCTCTCGAGGTGAAAGAAACCGTCCAAACTCGCGTGACCAAGTGGAATTTTCCATCCATTGTGGCGGGCTGGCCCGTGCAGCTGTACGGAACCTTTTCGCTGTCTCTCCATCCAAAAGGACGGTTCCAACTCTAAAGTCCAGGAGTGGGGAGGGGGTCTCTCTCGCCACCGTTCTGGCCAAATGCGCGATTTCACGCGAACACCTCACTGAATACTAGCACATATGTTCATACATAGATTTTTAGACGTTTCCCAGACGCCTTTCTGACCAAAAATTAAAAAGAAAACTTCACTAGGATCGACCCGAACTTACTTTTTCTTTTCAGTAAAGTACACTGTAGATGAGGTAGCATATGCTGTGAGCAAACAACGTAGTGTCTTTGACTCGGTGTTTGCAGAGGGGCGAAGCGACCACTTTGCAGGGCAAATGCTCTATGTTCTGTTCACACAAAAGCTCGCATTCTGGCCTTGATTCTGTAAGCCGTCCAAACAAAAGGGCTTAGGGAAGGACTACAACCGACGGACCACAAAGGGGGGAAAATAGAATACAAAATACATGAAAAAAGCAAAGTTTTTGCTTTGTGTGTTCTGTCGACGATACCAGCTGCCTTAGCAACTGTACGGGGCTGGAAGAACGTCTGGACAAGAGCAACAACAACCGTGTGGATATGAAGACGGAGCCGAACATCGTCTAAAATAACTTTGACGGGAGATTGCTTGGCTCCCCGGAGTGCTGTAGTGAATTATTTGCACGGTTTGCAGCCATGCCTAATGCGTTTTTCATGGGCTCGGCAAGTGCATTTCGCAAGTCTTTCTTTCCACCAATCTCCACAGGGACGGCTAGGAACTTCACTTGGCTTCTACCAGGCACCAGTACACGCCTTTGCCCTCTTCCCATATTCCCCTTCCGCCAAGCGTCCTGCGTAGAACCTAATCCCACCGCTGCATTTATTTTCTACTTCCCACCAAATTTCCCTCTACTAGCCCGCGGCGTAGTTCTAACGTTGACTACATTACGTACGTAATCGATGTTTGATTACGAAAACATTCGCAATTCGTACGTACAATTGATAGAATAAAATGACTCCTTTTCAGAAGTAGCGAAGTGATATATAAAACTGTATCGGTAACAATATAATGTAGCCGAGAAAGAAAAAGTTATCCGTCGACAGTTGAGGTATTGAGTTATTGTCGCCGGCATTGAAATTGATAATTTCATGCATGGGTTTTTTGGCTAAATCTGCTCAGTGAGTCGAGTCTTCCGTATCTCGTGTCGGCAGCCGCTGGTGTAGTCCCCGCTACTGAATACCAGCGCAACCTTATCTGGTCATATTAGATCATAGGGCGGAATAAATCGCATTTGTCGGGCTTGATCCGATATTTTTCCCGCTACGGTGAGTCGCCATACCTTGCGGTTGCGTCCGGTGACTCGTATGCGATATCGCCCGGCCCGTATTGCCTTTTTCACGGGGAGGGAGATCCATTCGCCTCGGCCGATAGAATCGCTGCACGGCGCGGCGTGCCCGTGTAACATTCAATAACCCGCGTCTGCTTTGTCCTCTTAATCACTTACGTATGCGCACTTTATACTCCTTTGATTACCGGTGTGAATGGAGCAAGAGAAATATTAGTATCAGTCCTGAAAAAGCTTTTTACCCCGGCCCATCTGCCTTGTGTATTTGCTGGGTCCCCGTGCGCAGCGGGCACCTTTCAAAGGCGTCGCCTAAATTGAGGAGAACATATGAGTCTGTCAACGGTGAAAATGAATGCCCTCTATTTCGCATAGCGCCCGTAATAGACCTAAATTGACCGTTTTTGTACACTTAACAACGCTGAGATCTCCCTTAATAGTAGGGCCCTGGTTGATTCCTATCCTATTTTCCGATTTGCCTCTATCAGATACTGTCTGCCCACATGATTGTCCATCAGTCCGTAAATGATACACGTGGAATGAGCAACTAAAAAGCGGGACAGACAAGATACCGCGGGCGCCCTCGTTATTCTGTAGTTCCCGGGAATCATTTTCATCGTCTGCTCGAATCTGCACAAAAGAGAAGAGACGAGCCGTCGGGAGAGCAGTCTAGCGTTTACTAAATGCTCTCACGCGCTGGTGTACAAATTTCCGATAGCACTTCATTACATGTTGCAATTATTTATCGAGCTGCTCCTGATTCCAGTCTAGCGGCATCCGGGGGATATCCTGTACAATATTGGAGATCCTTCCAAATTACCTAAAGCTTCGGCCGCGTGATGAAAAAATCTATACTCAGCCCTATAGGTTGTGAAGGTGTGATAGGAGAGTCTTTGATTGGGCGGCTGGGTGGCACCGCCGGATACAGCTTGGCTCGCAAATTTAATGGCGCCTCTTCTGAACCGGAGCCCACCAAAGGTCAAAAAAGTCGATGAGACGAAGAGCACCTCTTGGAGACTTTGAAAGTTAAAAGGCATGAAACCAACGCGTCGCTGGTAATAGAGAAGCTTTCTAGGGGCAAAGGAAAATAGCGTTATTACATTGACTACTTGTTCTGTTTAATCCTGGTTATGAGTGGAAGGTTAGACAGGTTGTTAGGAGGGAGGCAGACTTTGTCGGTAAGGTTCTCCGCCACTCTGTGGACACCGCCACGTCACATGTTGTACTCTATGGAGACAAATTCAGACCTTAATGTCAATAAGCGTTTCTAATAGGCACGGAACCGATCAAACTTTCTCGCGAAATGAAAGCAAATTGAGGCGTAATCCGCGCCCACTCTAGGGGCAATAAATTCTCACCGGCGGATCTAGGTGTGCGTAATGATATGGAATTATATTGGATTCGCCATATGCTATCTTTGCATTTAGGTTGATAGCTTCTCTTCCCATTGTATGCAGGGTGTATAATCTTCAGCTGTTTATGGGGGTGTTTGCAAATGCGTACGGGTCTGGCGGGGTGGCTTCGCACTGGCCAATGGGATAAGTGAAATTTATCCGTCTGTCACCGAGGTAATTAATTGGGAGGCACGATTGGCTGACATAGCGGGAAACTGACAGGCGCAAATCCCGCCGCGGTATCAGACAATGTAACCGTATTTCTGATAGCCCACAGATATGTGCAGCATATTTAAGGCGGATGAGACGCGGTTCTGACATGTTTTATTGAAAGCAGGCCCGGGTGAAGTCGGACCGTAGCAGCCGCTAATCTTGACTAAGGGCCCGTTTTATTGGCGTTGCACCACACGATGGACGCAGGCGGGGATGGTCTTTTCGGCGAGGAGACAGCCTTTAGAAACGTCGAGCACAGCCAGCTAGAACGTCTGCATCCGACGGGTCGACCGAACGACTGCGCGGGCGATTTGACGCCTGGCGCCGAGGGCGGCGGTAGCCGCGATCGGGAGGAAGAAGCTTGCGTCTCGCCGACCGGTGGAAGGTTGTCAGACAGTTACCCGGAGGACCAAGAACTAGACGGACACGACAGTTCCGCCTCGGGCGTAGACCAAGCCCCTCCCGACGGTAAACAGAAGAAGTCCCGTAAGGTTCCCGTCAGACTCGGCATAAACGCCCGCGAGCGACGAAGGATGCACGACTTGAACGATGCTTTAGACGAACTCCGCTCCGTCATACCATACGCGCACAGCCCCTCCGTCCGGAAGCTCTCCAAAATCGCAACCCTACTACTGGCCAAGAACTACATCTTAATGCAGGCTAACGCCTTGGAGGAAATGAGGAGACTTGTCGCTTATCTAAACCACAACCTGCAGGCTGCCATGTCCTGTTACGACGGAGCGTTCACCCCGACCACGCCGTACCCGTCAGCCAACCTCCCTACCCCGGACACTAAGTGCATGTTGTACCCGCCGCCCAGCTCGATGTCCTACCAGGTCCAGCGCCCCTCACCGGCGGCTCTCTGCAAGGAGTGCGGCGACAAGTAGCAGCGGTCACCGCCCAGGACCCCGCCAGCCATCCGATGCCAGTCAGGAAGCATGACAACGGTGGAGGTAGCAGATAATTTCCACACTGACTGCATAATTCATCAAGACTTTAACACCTTGTAGCTGCCTAGATTTATTTTCCTAGGTCAATGTCCTATATTTTCCGTGCTTGGTGTACATGTGTGTGCGGTGCATATGCTATATAGTCCTTCATCAGCTTGCTATCTCGTTATGTGGACGCCTCTCCTGAATTCTTAATAGAGCAGTTAAAAGTTATGTGTTACAACTTAGGATAGACTCAGAGTCCAAGTCTTTATAGCAATTTAAGATATTGACTATCGGAAGTAAAAATGTCGACTCTTACGTTTTGTGTCAGGAAGACGAATAGGCGGAGACAAAAAGATGCCTCCCGCCATTGATTTCCTGTACTGGAGTGACAGTTGAGGAAATAGGCTGGATTATTTTTGATTACTTTGCCAGGTCTAGGAAATCACGCTACTACATCATAGCTGGAAACGCCGGCCGAAACCTGATTCCAATTTTACTACCAGATTTACCGGGGGTTTTCTGAGCTCTAAAATTACGTGAGATATCACGCAACGGGATGCGTACGTTGTAATATGATACATCCCACAAAGCAAAGTTTTGAGAACGTCTACTTTCAGCAAAATTGTTGTTTTTTGTAAGGATTACATTCATGAAGATTTTGTGACATCGCAAGTCTTTTCCACGACTATTCTTGTGTGTATTTCTCCAAATTTCGTATCCGGAAATACTTCAGCACTTAATTTCTCAAATACTACACAGATCTAGTCATGTTTGCGTTTATCTGGATGGAATGAGTCGTTTGTTAAGTGTTATTGTGGTGCATGCGTCAAGTGAGGGTTTTATAAGCAATTACGAAAGGTGCCGCCGTAGCGCCAACCAACAATTACATATGACGACATCATTTTCGTACAAGATCGTAATCATTATGTATCATGCGTACCACCTTTCAGAAGTGATCAACTGTGTGTACCCTAAATTATTGACAACCTTATACCGCGGTATTAGGCCGACTTATGCAAATATATCCTCCGAGAGAACTTTTCTGATTATAGATATTTTTTCGTTACACGGCCCCAGGCGTTGAACTATTTCATATTCATTAGCGCCATCTGTGCTCCAATTTGGTTAAAATCTTGCACCTATTGTCCTCCACAGGGATATGTACTTACGTTAGACACCCTATAGGACTGTTCCTACCTATCCCAACTCTTGTCCGTGCTTGATACGAGATTTAGGCGGTCAGAACTTGTGTTATTGTGGAAATGAGTGCACCCTATGTGAAGAACTGGTCTAAGTGAGAGGTTAGCGCCACGCGTTCGACCTTATAATGTATTGTGTACAAAGCCATATATCTGTAATAAAATTACAACACCAGAGTATATATCTCGTGTGCGGGGCTTGCCTGTTGTCATGATGCATGGCGGCGTTAACCGTCTCCCTTCTATCGAGTAATGACGGGGTTTTTACGGGGACGACAAGCGGCCCGCCAAACTCCCGGGATTTTAATTTGTTGGCAGTATCCTCCGCGGCTTAGCTTGCTATTGCTGACTTATTGGTTTAGGTCCCTCCAAACGCGTAAGATCAATCTCCCACGGGTCGAGCCTTTCAAATGTAAAGCGGGGTTGCTTAAAAATCAATGGGTCGGTGTCGGAGAGGAGAGCAGTCACATTGGATGTAATTAACAAGAATCGATTGGACGCTTTTGCGGGGAGGATTGGAAAATCTGAGATGAATTTTATTACCGGGTGGTTATCGCGCCTGTCAATGGTGGGAGTGACAAGCTGTGTAGTGAGGTGGGATAAAGAGGTCAACGGACTCAGGACGGTGGGCGCGAACAGGGTGGAACGGGGAGGGGGGTTCAGGGTGGGAGGGGGTTCAGGGTGGGAGGGGGGTTCAGGGTGGGAGGGGATGGAGAAGCCAAGGCTCGGGAAACAAGGCAGGTAGATAAGGATTACCTTTTCTTTTATTCAGATTTCGGCTGAACTGATGCAGCGAATACAGTTTAACGATGTAAAGCTGAAATGGCTCGGGACCGGGGCTGTCTCAGGGACCCGTCCCTCTGTTTGCTTGTGGGGAAGGGACGTTTAGTTCGCCCGATTTTACTCAAGGAAAATTACTTCTGAAAATGCGTGAGACACTGTTGGAATTCAGACGTCAGAATTTTTTAATGGCCTTGCCAGCGGTTGACTTATGATAAAAGCTAAGGTCGGTGGGTTATTTCCAGGGTCGGTCGGCAAAAAATACTGCAAAGAAATAAATTAACAGTCTTCCGAAGGCTTTCAAAATGGCTTTTATCATTATCGTATTCTGAGTTTATGAAAACGTTATAAACAAAGTTCAAAGAAAACACATGGCCGCACTTCAGCTAAATCACGGTAATTTTAGGTACATAGATGTGTATGGTTCCGGTAAATATTTGAAAGTCTGATACTAATAATGATAGGGTTTATGACCCTTTGAAATCACGATTTTATGACGTATCTAAAGTTTTTGTCAAAACTGAAGCTAAGAAATACCTGCTGTACCAACATATAGCATGGCCAGTAACAGTTTTATTTGGTTAAATGCCGGCGCGGCTATGGTTTTAATACAAACCAATATAACTGTTGACGAGTTTTACTTCATGTAGTGTTCGCGAAAACGTCATCATCCTGCAAATGTGGTTTAGGAAGAAATAGAAATAAATAAAACAGTGACCTTCTCGTCTTCCTTTCATTACCGGAAAATTGACATCCCTGGAATACAGACGAAATTAGAGGAGATCACGAGTAGCTGGTTGGGAAAGATGAAGAGCGTGCAATGCCCCACGGGACGGAATCGTTTAACGGGGGAAACGGGGTAATAAGACATGTCTGAACGGGGTAATAGGAGAGCCATTTGCTTTGAATGTTAACTCAAGGTTAGCTAGGGGAGGGAGCCCGCCGGAGAGAGACAAGGCGCCTCCACCCATGAAATTGAAAGCGAGTTCCCTGGCGCTGCAAACTGACAAAAACCGCACAGAAAGGGGATCGTCTACGTCAGGTTAGAGATATCAAACCTCCCCTTCCTAAAGGACGCGCAAAGATTTAACGGGACATCTGTGTAGTACTGTGACACCACAGTACCGCGGAAGGAAAATCAGCATAGATTAAACATATGTCTAAAATGGGCAGTGAAATCAACTTTATTGCATTACAATTATAACGGATACAATGTACTGCAAGGTGGTAAACATAACTATAAAACTGGTCTAATATCTACACTTAGTCTATGTTTCACAGTGAACAGGAACTACATACCAAAGCATATAATAATCGGAAAAGGAGACCTTTGCGTACATTATAACTATAGCATACCAATTACTATGGAATCAAACCAGTGGGCACATTGATGAGTAACGCTAAAAATAGAAATGGAACTCTGAAGAAAATTTTTGTATTTTGTCAAAAATCATGCCCCCTGGTCATACTAGAAAAGCATGAAGACATTTAGCGATGATAAATAGACATTAGTCAGTATATGTAATGGATCATATACGTGTAAGTGTTAATTGTCGATGTTGCAGTGTCCCGACATTGCTGAGTTTAAGACTTGGCTAGTCGGTACTTGGTCGTGAAAAGGACAGAGGCCAGACCTATACTTCATTACCAGGTATCGGAAACAATGATATCCGGACGTACCAGCCGAATATGATCCAAAGATTACCTTCGATCTAATAACATTTTGCATGCATAATTCGGCCGGGTCCGCGCGGGACGCAGCTGCACAGGCCGCGCAACAATTAAATTCCCGGAAAATATCGATGTAGACTGGCATTTTTCGCAAATGTGTGCGTTAGGGACTCAGGAGAGCCGCAAATTCAATCAGTCGTGCATTGAAGCTGTCAAGTGAGGAACAATTGGAAAATATGTTTGGAAAATTAAGTGCGTTCGACACGATATTGCTTATTTTCATGAGGCGTGAGTCTTGGGCCGGTGTCAACATCGTACGATGTGTGGGACAAGCGGACCTGTCCTGGACTCACGACATACAGAGTCATGCCAGGTACCTGTAACTCTGGCCTAATGACAAATGATATTTCGTGATATTAACGTGATTTAAAGTTAATAGCCGATGACATTTATGAGGTTGTCACATCCTTTTTTATTTTGAATTTATTTATTCGCACGTAGTAAAAGCATTTGATGGAACGTAAATAACAACAAAAAAGATAACGTGCTGGGGTAGAAAAGAAGCCAGAATGAGATCTTGTATATTTCTAATTAGCAGCTAATTCGTAGATTATAATACATTTTTATCAAATAAAATAATACTGATAACAAAGAACAATAGATAAATATTGAACGATAACAACACGGGTTAAAGAAGGCTCAACTTCAGTTGAAAGCCTAAGTAATCAAAGTGCTAAAAAAGGAGAAAACTGCAGTTATAAATTAGAAGATTAAACATTAAGTTACAGATACGATGAGTCATATTTTTGGCACGAAGCTTAAATGACATCTAACACTTATTTTCTATTGACAAGGGCCCGGTCACATCGGTCGTACGATCGTCGTACGGTGACACACTGAGAACATTCTTGGGATAGTTGTGCATGTGTCGTACAAAACTTAGCTGTTTTATAAATAAGTGAAAGGCGGTCATAAATCCTTGTCGGCAGTTGGTTCTGTCACAACCTGCTTGTAAACCCTACGACACGATAACTTGCGGCATCGTACGACGACATACGAGGAATATGACTGCGACGTATACTGTTGTACGGGAAAAAACATATATTCCATCGGGGCTGTGATTGCATACCCCCGAGCGCACTCGTATGTTTCTCGGAGCGGATCAGTCTTAAAGTTATACGAGACAAAAGGTTGCTCAAGGCAAAGACGGCGATAGATCAGTAAACCACTCTTACCATAGATTGGACGCATAAGACACTGCCCCCTTTTAATGAAAGTCGGGTATGATTGCAACGTTAAATCTGTTGGCCCAAGAAATGTTTAAATGTCAAGCGATGTCTTACGTCCCGAGGAGTAACGTTCTTGGATAGCTCATGAAAGGAAAATGCCTATCAATCTCTCAAATAAAAGCCTCGCCTGATCAGAGAAATCAATGGATGTTTGAATATACATCTAGATCAACTTGAAGTTGGTCTTCAAGTTGGCATCTCAGAGAAGGTGATATAGTCACCTATTTTGTCAACCCTTCCACAAATGTGGTAAATCTCAATAAATAAGCAGGTAAATACTTTCCACCTTCGCATGACCAAACAACTGTTTCAACAACATATGATTTTGACTAGAGGCGATATTCCTTCGTAATGTCAACTTTCACAGATTTGGAAAATGGCTCGCTTAACGTCCAGTAAACACTTTACAAAGTTACAATATACTCGTACGTCCAAGGTTCAACGTTGAAGATACGTTTGTCAATTCGTTGTTTGTTTTAATTCGTGGAAAAGATAAAGAATCCTGTTGTTCAAACTGAAGTACTCCGTCTACTGAATATAGCCCCTGGTGACCTCCAACTGCTATTGATGCCACAGACATTACCAACATTTCAGATAGAATCAGGTTCTTACACGGACCTTGTCGCGTCTACATTGTGAATAATAACACATGGTCTACTTGAAAGAGAGCCTTTACCGCTGATTACCTCGCAGATTACTTAAAGTTGATCACTCGTGCTTGTACAAACGGTTCCTCGTAACAACAATAAACGACAAGTACGTGCTTCCAAGGCTAGATTGATGTTGATTGCGCGACCGCATGCTGCTCATTAGCTGTCCAACAGATGAGGTGATAAAATTATCAAAGCCTGCGTTTTTGTGCTCTCGTCCGTGAGCGATATAGATGATACAGGGATGATACTGATGAAAAGGGGAGGCGAGAAAGGCAGAAAATTCCCCGAGTACACCAAGACTCAGGAAATAACTACGACACTGTATTATGGAAATGTTGGACGATTTCAGTTTTTATCTTGAATGCGGATGGTGCTGAGAATAAATTGAGTCTTACTTTGTACGGTTTATAAAAACAAATGTTTGGACGAATTTGACTGTGTTCCAAAAACGTATTTTGTGTATATCGTGTTTTATGACACTGTTAATAATAGTATGATAGTAATAACTGCCAAATAAGATTGCTACAGATATAAGTGTAGCAGTCGCAGTCGCAGTACTATGATACTTGACTCCTGCTTGTTTCCACCGTCATCACTTTGTTATGTCATTATTTACATCATTAATAAGTGAAAATGGCGACTTTTTTTCTAAAGTCATGTTGTAACCATGATATTGGGATTTGTGACCTTCATTGCCAGTAAGAGAGATAGATGAAATATAACACAAATATCATTAATACATGTATGGAGAAATATTGCATAACTAGATGACTAGACAA